AAAAAAAAAAAAAAAAACGACACCCATTTGGTTGAGCTTCTTGAATAAAGAAAAAAAAAAAGATATTGACAACAATTATCTATGAAGAATACAATCAGCTGAGTTATGTATTATCGAAAACGTTTTCTTATCTTAATTTCTCATAGAATTAATCTATAGCACGTATGCTAATGACCTTTTCGAGAAGATTTTTTACTAAAGAAATAATTGCTTATGTAATATGTAGTCTCTGTTGTAATCGAACATCAATGACAAACATTAAGAAAATGTTCTCAATCATGGTTGATTTATTTGTAAACATTAGCTTTTTTTTTTATTATATGCGACTTGCGAATAAATATATGTTTATATCTCTATTGAAAAAGTGACGATTTTCTCTCAAGATATATCTATCACATTTAATAGCTGTCAGCTTTTTTTTTTCATGTGATAAATATCAGATAAGCTCGTTCATGGTTCATTTATTTGATTTAACTGTTGAATAGATTTAATCTTTTTTTTTTTGTTATCTTTTTATTGTGAAAAAGAAAGTGCAAGCAAAAGAGTTCTTCTCGTTTACATTCATATCAAAAAAATGGTTTTCATGGTTTATAAACAGAAAAAAAAATTTTTTTTTGTTTTTTAAGAAAAAAATCATACAAAACAAGAAAAGCGATACCATAGTATAAAAGAGACAATTAAATGAATGGAGTAGTGAATTGGTATAATGTTCACAGGTACACAAACAATACGAAAAACAAAACAACATTAAACAAGAATACAACTACGTTCAATGTGTAGAAAAAAAAATGTGAATGACATATAAATGTACAATTTTTAGGAATTATTTTTTTGCATGCTATACAAAAAAAAAGAAAAGCAAACGTGCTTCATTTTATGACTCAACAACGTTTTGATTTTCATTTATTTTTTCTTCATCGTTTTGTACAGTATTATCAATAATAGGATTTTGATCATGTATTGAATGATGAACCACAATATATTCATGTCCATTTGAATTAAGTTCAGTTGATGATGGTATTTCATTTTGATTTAAATTTATTTCTTGACGTGATACAGCTGTTTCTAATTCACTATCTTTATTTTCTTCTTGATCAGAATCATTATCTTCTTCATCACTACCAATTCTATTTAAATTTACAAAAAAAAAATTATGCATAAACAGATCTTTGTTGATAGAATTGCAAATATGGTCAAAATGGTTTTGCGAAGATTGCGATAAGATTGAAACCTACTTTAATAAATCTATATCTGAAACATCATCTATATTACTAATGTCAAGTGTCTGTTCGTTCCTGAGTCAGAGGTCAAGGGTCAAAGAGTTT